TAGGATCTTGCCATTTGTACGTTTGGCCGCCCCATTTGACTGCGGGTGCGCGACCGACGCGAACCTGATTTCCAGGTTAAGCCCTTCGCACATTTCTCTGAACTTATCAGAGTCAAATTGCTTGTCGTTGTTAGTAATGAACTCTTTTGGCACTCCAAAACGGCAAACAATGTTTTTCCATACAAACTTCTGTACTGCTGCCGAAGTGATTGCTCCAAGGGGTTCGGCTTCAATCCATCGAGAGAAATATTCCACAGCTACAATTGTGAATTTATACCCGTTTCGCGCCACCGGGAACGGCCCGATGATGTCCAGTCCCCATCTGGCGAAGGGCCATATTGGCGCAATGGGCTGCAGATCATACTGGGGCGCGGTTTGGCTTCGGCCATGACGCTGGCAACTTTCGCACTTCTTGATTTGCTCAACACAGACTTTCAACACAGTGGGCCAATAAACTCCTTGTCTAAATACTTTGGAGGCCACTGTTCTTGCAGCCTGGTGCGCGCCACATAGTCCCTGGTGTATTTCCTTTGCCATTTCTTCGCCTTCGGCAAAAGAGATGCAACAAAGTAAGGGTTGAAGTACCCCGGAGCGGTAAAGCTGACCCGAGACCATCTTATACTTCGTGGCTCTAAGTTGCAAACGCTTTGCTTTTGCTTCGTCTACCGGAAGCCAGCCAGTTTCAAGGTGTTTCACAAATGGGGTTCGCCAGTCATATGGGTCTTCGCCCAGTTTCTCCTGGTCGATTGCCATGACTTCCGAGCTGTCCATGGACACACTTGGAGCATGTAGGACTTCGAAAAAGATGCCAGGCGAATGTGGGCCACCACAAGCAGCGGATTTCGCCAGGGCGTCTGCTTCCTCGTTCTGGCTTCTAGGTAAGTGTTCGACCGTTATGCCAGTGAAGTATTTTTCCATGAACCGAACAGCCTCCAGATACCTCTTCATTCCTTCTTCTTTTGCTTCGAAGGAGTTGTCAACATGACCTGCTACCAACTTGGAGTCGATTCGAATTAGCAAGCGCCGGACTCCTAGTGCTTTCGCCTTTCTTAGGCCCAGGAAAACGGCTTCGTATTCTGCTGCGTTGTTGGTTGTGTCGAACTGCAGTCTTGCTGCGTACCGAATCGGCACATCATTCGGCGAAAAGAGGACTGCCGCAATACCTGCCCCCCTGTGCGACCACGAGCCATCAGAGCACATCACCCAGAATTGTTCGGCGGGCTCGGGGTCGAGGGCAAGTACCGGTGTCCATTCAGCTACGAAGTCAGCTAGCACTTGAGACTTGATAGCAGAGCGTGCAACAAAATGCAAGTCGAACGGGGATAGCTCTGCCGCCCACTTGCTGAGCCGGCCCGTGACTTCCTTGCCTCGGAGTATTTCGCCCAAGGGGTACTGTGATGGCACTATGACTTTGTGGGCCTGGAAGTAGTGCTTAAGCTGGCACGAGGCCATCACTAGGGCGTAAGCGAGCTTTTCCATTTCGATGTATCTTGTCTTCGCTCCTTGCAGTGCTTCGGAGACGAAGTAGACCGGTTTCTGTCCGAACTCTGTTTCTTGGACGAGTGCAGCACTGACTGCCACCGGCGAAGCTGCTAAGTATAATAGCAGTTCGCTTCCTGGGGGTGGGCTTATCAGGGCTGGCGGGCTTTGCAAGTATTGCTTTAGCTCGTCGAATGTTGCCTGGCACTCTGGGGTCCAATCAAACTTTCCCGCGCCCAGGAGGGTCTTGAAGAAGGGCAAACCTCTTTCGGCTGCCTTTGAGAGGAATCGACTGAGTGCCGCAATTCGGCCTGCAAGCTTTTGTACTTCATGTACGCTTGACGGAGGCTTCATTTGCTGGATGGCATCGATTTTCTCGGGATTCGCCTCGATGCCTCTTTCGGAAACAAGGAAACCCAACAACTTGCCTGCGCAAGCTGTCGAATGTCTCCTGCAGATCAATCGCATGGTCGAAAGCCTTGCGGCTTTTTACGACGATGTCGTCGACATAAGCTTCCACATTCCGCCCCAACTGCTCACCAAGGACTTTGTACACCAGTCTGGCGAAGGTTGCTCCTGCATTCCTTAAGCCGAAAGGCATCCTGAGGTGACAAAATGTGCCAAACGGAGTGATGAAGGATGCTTTGGGGATGTCAAGCGGGTTCATGTGGATCTGGTGGTAGTCGGAATATGCGTCCAGGAAACTCATGAGCTCGCATCCAGCTGTTGAATCCACGAGCTGGTCGATCCGTGGCAAGGGGAAGTCGTCTTTCGGATACGCTTTGTTTAGGTCTGAGAAATCGACACACATGCGCCATTTGCCATTTGACTTCCGCACCAACACTGGATTCACCAACCACTCCGGATGGTCAATCTCTTGGATTACCCCTGCCCTGAGCAATTTTTGTACCTCGGCTTTCGCCGCTTCTTGGCGGTCGGCAGACATCTTGCGCAACTTCTGTTTTCTTGGCTTAATGTCCAGCTTGACCGCCAGGTGATGCATGATGAGATCTGCCGGAACACCCCCCACCTCGTCAGGGCTCCAGGCGAATGTGTCGATGTTCTTCTTGAGCACCTCTAGGATACTCTCAACTTCTTCTTCGCCCATGTCGCCCCCCAGTGATACAAGCTTTGTGGGGTCGGCATCATCAATCTGCACTTTCGTTATCTTGCCGTGAGGGGTGGGCTTTGGCATGTTCTTCGGCTGTTCATGCGGTTCGGTCTCAACGCTGTGCACTGCTCTGTTGATTATGGCTAGATCGCTTTTCGAAGCGGCCGAAGACTGAAGCCCCTTGACTACTATCACCCCTGCCAGGCCGGGCATCTTGAGCTTGAGGTAATTGTGGTGGGAAATGGCTTCAAACTTGTTCAGGGTTGCACGGCCGAAGATGGCGTTGTAGTTGTACGGGATGTCGACGACGTCGAACAGTATTTGCTCTTCACGTCTGTTCTCCCCCGAGCCAAAGGCTATCAGCAAGAGTGCTTGGCCGAGTACTTGAACTGCTTCTCCGCCGAAACCGCGGAGTGATGCTGGTGCTGGGGTAAGTGCTTGGGTAGGCAACCCCATCTTGGCATATGCTTCGGCAAAGATAACTTCGGCCGAACTCCCTCCGTCGACCAGTATTCGTCGGACCTCGAAACTAGATTACGAAAGGATCTTGATGCGGGAACATAACTCCTTCTGCGTCTTCCGGCCCAAAAGAAATTAGCTGGTTTAGATATTGCGGCGCCCCTTCGCCCGCCGAAGTGATGCTGTGGACCATACGGATCTGCATCTTCTTCTGCCGCTTGGACAACTGGCTTGGCGGGTCGGCCCTTGTAATCACTTGGATTATCCTTCGCTGTGCATCTTGGCGTTGTTTGGCTGGGGGTGTTTGCTCCTGAACTGCTTCGCGGGGTGCTTCGACAGTTGTTCCCTGCTGCAGCCTTGGGTCTTACGCGTTGCCACATTGCCTAATGTTTCGGCATTGCTCCGTGGTGTGCGAAGAGCGTCCGTGAAAGGCGCAGTAGAGGTCTTTTCGGACCTTCTTGCGGGCTGGCTGCTGATGGTTGCTTGCTTGCTGGGCGTCTCATGATATATGCCTGCATATACATTTGCGTATAAAAAGACACAATGAGGTTCAGTTACAATAAAAGGCTGACCAAGATTATCTATCCACCCTGACAATTTTGTTTTGGCTAGTTTCAGAGCCTAAATATTTCGTTGTTATTATGGAGTAGTTTCATATGATAAGGAGCAATTCTGCTGAGATATATGTTTGGAGAAAATTCATACTTAGTTGCTTACCTGACTTGATGCCTGTAAGAAAGCAAGCCGAGGAGCCAATGGAGTTTCAAAGAATCAGATCGGAGGCGGTGAAACTGGCGAGAAGGGCGACGAGCGGCGGAGTGGCGCGCGACGGCGGACTGGCAGCGTTAGGGTTTGGAGAGTGATGGAGGCGGCGTGAGGAGCGAGAGGTGGAGGGGGCGGGGCGTGGGTTGGAGGCGCAGTGGAGCGAGAGGTGGGGGACCGATGGCCCGCGATGCGGTGCCGGGGGAGGGGAGCGGAGGAATTTCGCGATCGGAACAGGAAGGAAAGTGCGCGTGATTCGGGGGCGCTGCTGGGTGAGGGAAGGCGATGGGTACGCGGGAGACGTTAGATTGAGATGAGATAATCTGGACTGTTGAGTGACAAATGAAAGAATGAGTGATAAGTGATGAGTGAAACCATTTGTTGAACTATAGGGTAGATAGATAACTCTATAATATTTATGTATTCTAAACCAAAAATATAAATATTCACAGGATATTTTTAGTTGGTGGCGCACCCATTTTATAATATATGGTTGAAAATAAGACTATTTGTCCTCCCTGAACTTCATGTTGTGCCATGCCAAGGCGGCAGCCCAAACATGACCCAACTATTGGGTCGGGCCAACACGGGCCCGACACCATTCGGGCCGTGCTATGCCTAGGCCGTACCAAAGCGGCGTGCCATGGGCTAGGCCGCGGGCCATAAGGCCATCTAAAGTTCAGGAATGTGCTGCTGATTTTTTTTATTAGAGCATGTGTTAATGGGATTGTGAGTATGATGTTGCGGGTAGTGATATGTGTTTGTGTGTCTCTGCCACGTTTCGAAAAAACAACTGATATACTCCAGTATACAAAGATTGCATTTCAAGGTAGTTCTCATCTTAAACAAGATCCGATGCGTCCATCCATGATCACAAGGCTGGGAACATTCCTCCCTCGTAACACCTACACTACACGTATGAGCTGAACCCACCGCTCAGTCAGGACCAGGGTTTCCCAAACTGCTGGGGCCGGGGTTACCGCGTCCCGGCGGTAAGCACGGTTACCGCACGGTAACCGTGGTAACCGTGATAAACCGTGCAAAATTTATCAAAAATTCAAATTATTTTTTAAATTTATTTGAATTTAAAAAGGTTACCGAAGTATTTATATTACCATACCCCCGCGATAAACCGGTTACCGGCGGTAAGTCCAACCCTGGTCAGACTCAGGAGAGACTCCCGCGGGAAAGCCGAGGAGTTTCCCGCCCTGTAGCGCCCGCCGCTTCACTCCCTCCCAATCCCCCCTCCTAAACCCAGCTAGGTTTCCGCCTCTCTCACCATCTCCATCTCCATGGCCCCGAAGCGCCGCCGTGCCCGTCCGGCGGACGAGAGCTCGACGCCGCCGCCGCCGCCTCCTCCCTTGCGGACGGCGCCTTCGCATTTGCAGCCGGTGGTTGTTTTCGCCCACGGCGCCGGCGCCCCCTCTTCATCCGACTGGATGGTCCAGTGAGCTCTCACTCTCTTTATCTCTCTGTCCTGTCTTCTCTCCCCCCTTTGCGTGTGCGCGTATGGATAATCGGAATTGTGGCGACTATTTTGTTGGTAGAGGTAGCGTCTTTTTTTTTTTTTTGGTATGTGCGTGATGATGTGCGAAATTGAGGGAGTGATTTCTCATCTCTGTTAGTTGGAAGGATATGGTGAAGGATGCGCTCGATGCTATCGAAGTTGTCACCTTTGATTACCCATGTGAGTTTGTCTGATGAGCTCTAAGTGCTGATTTGTTGACCCCTCACTGTTCGCTAAACTCGTTGATGAAAATCTGTTGGGGGGAGAATTTCATGGTAGAGCAACAATTTGTTGGCTGCAGATATGTCAGGTGGGAAGCGCAGGGCTCCGCCGAAGGCGGAGAAGCTTGTTGATCATCACCTTGGTGTGGTGAAGGACGCTGTAGCGAAGCATCCAGGGCACCCACTTGTTCTGATGGGGAAGTCTATGGGTTCAAGGTGATATGTGGGAGCTTTAATCTCGTTTATTACTTTATTTCAGACTTGTTTGTGTTTTTGACATCTGTCTCAAGATTGTAGTCCTCATACATTTTTCAGGGTCAGCTGTATGGTGGCTGATTCAGATGATATTATTGTTTCTGCTGTCATATGCTTGGGTTATCCGTTAAAGGTATCCTCTGTGTTGTGTGGGGTAATATGATTGCTACAATGTATGAGGATGTAACCCACATCAAAAAATGATTTAGCCTTCGGTTTCCATTATATAATAATTTGTAGGACCTGAACCAGTTTTTCAGGAAAAGGGTTGCTGTGATTTTAAAACATGCTCCACTTGGTTATTTTCACTCTCTGTTATGGCTCTACTTAGGGATGTTTTGTTTTGCATCCTTGCTTTCTTCCTCTTAGGGAGTGAACGGGGCAGTGAGGGATGAGACACTACTGAAACTGAAGATTCCAACAATGTTTGTGCAGGTATTTCTTTCTGAACACACTTTGAAATGAAAAATAATATTCAATATTTTTTAAGCTTGGTATGCAATGCATTTTTGTTCACAGGGCAATAAAGATGGGTTATGCCCTTTGGATAAGCTTGAGGCCACTCGCAAGAAGATGAACTGCAAGAATGAACTGCATGTTATTGATGGTGGTGACCACTCCTTTAAAATCGGCAAAAAGTATCAAGAGTCTACTGGAGTGAATCAACAAGCTGCAGAAATGGAAGCTGTTAAAGCTATTGCAAAATTTGTGCAGAACTCCATAGCAGGAACCTGAACTTAGCTGTTTATGTACTATTTAGGGTGTTGCAAGAATTAGTATGTTCATGCCTTTTGGTATCACTTAGATGTAATAGAAAGCTATTTTGCTAAGATGGCAAGAATTAATATGTTCATGCACTTGGTATCATTTAGGTGTGAAAGAAAGCTATTTTGCCAGGATGCTAGTTTTGATTTGCGCATCCGCATCCAACATCTATTTGTTTTCTTGTCAAGGTATGCCATGGTTGAAATCATTATCCTGACTACTTTACATAGTTGGGCAATACTGCTTATCTGCGAGTCATGAATTTGTCTGTGGGTATCACGATTTAATTGTAGGTATAAACATAACTGTAAACACAGTGAAGTTTGTAATTATCAAGGGATTTCTCTTTGCTATCATCAGAGCAATATGAAGTACTTTGTACAAGATTTCTGTTGTTTAACATCAATCTATTTTTTAGATAACTTACACCAATCCAAATCCATGAAGATCTTTTGACATCCATTCATGGTGCTGAATTTATGTACAGAAGTTGGCAATCATGCATGTAAGTTTACCTTGCGTTCCTACATATATATTTTTTTGGAAGTTTTGTTTCATCATGCATGTAAGCTATTATGAATGTAATATTCTGTACAATGTTCAATGTCAAAAGAATTGATAAATCTGTCCTGGTGTTACATCCATAAAACTTCTTAGAATAATTCTGGAGTTACATTCATGCTGTCGTCTTTGTTTCATCCTGGTTCCATCTCCATGGTTTTGCTTAGTAGACACCCAATCATGGGTGGAGCTTCTTAGAGGCTTATCTAGGCTATAGCCCTCCCCTGATTTAACTACTACAATTAAGTCCCTTTACTTTGTGACAGGTAGCAGAAAGTAACTGTAGAATGGTCCCTACGCTGAAAATAGTTTGAACATTATCCCCCTCAAAATTTCTCTTCAAGCTCCGCCACTGCGCCCAATGTTGACGATAAATCATTTTAAATCCTTATATGCTTTGATGCAATCCTTGTGTCTATGGTAAATCATGTTTGGTAGCATGGGAGGTAGACTCTTATTCCGAGATAGAGATGCTCAACATTGGATGAGTTGAATAAAGGGCTATATTTCCTTAATTTTATTTATATATTTGAATTGTATGATGTACCTTTGAACTTCGTTACTGTGTTTGTTTTCATTTTGCTTGAGGAGTTGTTTTCTTGCTGAGGTCTAGGGTGTTTCTTCCAGTATATGGACCTTGTGTTTTGTTTTCTTTAGAATTGACCAGGAGCTGTGGCCCTCAGTGAGATGGGCAACTGGAAATAACATCCTAATAAATGTAGGCTTGTAATAGCATGCATCAAGAATCATATTTTTATAAATTGAGATTTTAACCCCAACTTAAGAAGTAGGAATGATCATGATATGAAACTATGAGCGCAGTAAACCCATTCTTTATTTTTCACATTCTACTAAATTTCATATGTCAGGTGGTAATGATCACTTAATTTGTGAATGGTCTGGTTTTGAAGCCATCTATTTTATTAATGTTTGTTGTAATATGATGAACCTTTTGAATGATAGACAAGAAAACTTGCCAATTTACTGATGTTAAACAACTCCAACTCTTCTAGGTGAATATATTAAACAAATCGTAAATTCACCTGGTGAATATGGTGTGCTATAGCTTCAGTTTTCATGAAGTTCCAATTTATGGACATGTGGGCTGCATGCCTGCACATGCATTCAAGTGATGTGGTACAATGATATATCATAACCTCCGTAGAACCTTTCAAATAATAAGCTTTTTTTTATATAGGGAGAAACAAGACAGATACATGAATGATCAGAGACAATATATTCTATGTAACCAAGCTTTGGTAAGTCATAAAACTTTTGCTAGTCATATCATAGAAGAGGGCTTACTCAATGGCAAGCCATAGAAATATAGAATCTTAAAAATCTCTAATGCATGGAAACTTTCACATAATGTGAAGCATATCGTCCTTGTGTAGCATTTATGGGTACAACAGACATTTCTTGCAAACAAAACAGATAATATAGTTCAATTTTCAGATTAAGGGTTATGCCCTTTTGTGTCCACATGACTTGTTGGAATTTTCACTACATTTGCTTGTTCAATATCGTGAAGCACCTTAGGTGCTTCCTTGCATTTGCTGTAAATGCAGTATACAACCAACTGAAGTATACCCATTATGCTGCCGATGCAGTTTGGGGTCTTCACAAGAAAAAAAGCATGTCAGTTTGATATATAGAAGTTTATTGTGGCTAAAATTGATTATGTCCTTACCGCGATAAAAGGATCCCTTCCTATGACTCCATATGCCATCCAGGTTAAACTTGTGAAGAGGGTAAACAATGACAGATAGAAAGGCATGAACTCAACACTCTTTGTCCTGATAACTTGTTTCTGCAATTATGGAAGTACATATTATATTTTTAACCATTCAAAATAAAATATGTGTAGAAGTTGTCTTGTTTTGTTTCTCTACCATATCTAATTGAATGCTTTGTTCCTCTATTATACTTTCTGATGTGAATAGCATTTCATTGAATCATCATTATATCTTGAAGCACATGTTACTTTTTAGCATTTTTCTTTTTTATTGAAGTTCAGTATGAGATCAATGTTGCAAGGTTTTATCTTGCAGGCTGATATTCTATTATCTGAATTTCATAATTCCTCAGTCAATATAAGTAACAATACTCACCATAGCTACCAGCGGAGAGCCGTACATTGATATGGAAGACACTAGACCAACACTACCAACAAATACCTTACGTATATGATGGTTGTGTATTGAAAAGCTTGAGAAAAACACAGTCATGCAAAAGACTGCTAGAATCAGAGATGCCATCAGCATGACTTGCTTCTGCAAGAGATTATCAGTCAGTGTTAACATAATCAATCAAAAAATTCACATCCTGTAAAATCTCTCTAGTAACATGCCATGTAACATCAAACTTTTATAACCACTTAGGCACAACTATGAAATAAAATCATTTCTTGTTTCTTCTGAACCGGAAATGCGAGTGTTTGTTCTGTCTTACGTGTGTCTGAGAAGAATCAGACATAATATCCTTTCTTTCAAGAGAACAAGAAGCACCGATGGACATCATATTTTTAGTGTTCTATTTTGGTATAGTGCTAAAATTTTGGGGGTGTGAGATCAGAGATTTTACTACTGGCTAGGTACTTATGATTTGGATCTTACTTAGTTTGCCTCTGGTTCTTATCAATATTAATTGATTCATGTTGTCATGACTATATAACATCTAGAACTTTCTAATCTCACAACTTTGAACCAAAACTGCATCACATGCACAAGTTCCCTAGAGGCCTTTGCACATGGTTATGTTAGAGCTAAAAAGAACAAAATCTTATATGACTGACTTTGTGCTGAATATAGTACTGCTTTTGGAGTACAAACAGATAGAAACATGGTCATTTGAGTTCAAAATTTTGGATAGATTTTTTTACTATTTTATCCAAGCAAAAGCTTGCATTCGTTCCTACTTTCTTCTGAATATGTCATAATTATACAGCTGTTGTCGTCTTACTATATTTTGTTGTATTCCTAATATAAAATATTAGTGCAAACAACTTCAAAAACTTGATAGACACAGAAGTAAATTAGTTTACCCATGGAAATCATTGAAATGCTGAAGGAACAATAGAAGAGTTCTTCAGAAATGACCTACTTTTTTTCCTCTTGGAGCAAACCATACATATATGCTGATGAATGTGCCTTCAAATAGCACCCCAAGTGAGCTGATGCTGCAGACTGTCATGTTCTCCCACCCATAGCTCACCACAGGAAAACCATACCAACTGTATGTGAGGCAGCTGAACAAAGCTAAGATATATGGTATGCACGAGAATTCTTCTACACTGGCCTTCTTTATCACTCTTTTAAATGTCAATCTAGGAAACATAGTAAAAACAAGTGTCAAGCAATGCATTATATACTGCGCAAACATAGTATAGCTTATGATGTATAGACATGTAGTTGGGTACATTGGTGCTGAGTAGAGGAGCATGCAAGCTACAGATCCTGCAGGAGAAAGAGTATGGTGTTATGAACATAAAGAAATTAATCGAAGTAGCTTGTGGGTGCAAATACCTATAATTCCCACAATAAAACGTATATCAGGAAACATTCTTTTGTGCTGATTGATGAAGCTATTTTGTTGCCCCTGGAACTAGATTTTTGGATAGTTCATTGTTTACAATATGGGCAGGCTATTTATAATGTGCAATGGCTGTTTAATGTGGGAATGTCGAGATATTGCTCAAACCACTAAGGTAGAATATCTGTTTTTTTTTGTTGCTATGAGATTTAACACAGTTTTTTTGCAAACATGGAGTAATGCTGGTATTCTCTTTCATGTTATTACCAGCATCTAACTATTTTATTGCACCTATGTACCTATGATAATAATATAAGTTTCATGTTAATTTTGAATCTGGTCCGTCACTGGAGTAGGAACTAGCGAACTAGCCAATCAGTATCTATTGTACTTGCAACATAGTTAGATGTGAATATGGTACTCAACTTCTAGATTTTAATTGACTACGAAGATACGGAACAGCAGGGTTGGAAATTTCGGTCATTTCGGTCCCCTCCGAAACGATATTAATTTGGCTGAAATTTTTGAATTTTTCAATTTTTTCATGAATTTGGGTAATATTTGTTCAAATTCAACTAAATTTTGTTCAAAATTTCAGAAATTTTGGACCGAAATTTCGGGATTTCGGAGACCCCCGATCAAAAGCCCTAAACCGATATAGTGAACCCTGCGGAACAGCATTAGCAAAAATATTAGCTTAGAATCGTTGCTCTTGGATGGCACTTCTGATGCACGATGAAAAGCAAACATGAAAACAATCAATTGCTTTGCTCTTTTATCCATTTTTCCTTCAGTAAGTTAAGCTCATAATTTTGAAAAGCAGCCATTAATATGATGCTCCATTACTCCGTCATATAGAACAGTTCCGTTATTCCAATGAAAGAACTGATGCTGTTGCTTGCCACTCTTCAAGAATAACGTGTCTTTTTCTGGTGACATTAGTGAACATCACTAAAACGAGTAAGCTTCACTAAGGTTTTGCTTCCAGCTTTTGAGAAGATGCTCATGATTAGAGAGATGAAAGATTCAAGTATGAACCCTTTTTAGACCTGTAAATAGTTTTACAGGTCATGAAGCCAAGAACTTTGAGTTTTTCATAATGTTTTTGACTCTTGAAGAATTAGAGTGCAGTGCATTTACTGAAGTAGCAATTGTGGTTCTTTATGATTCATCCATATCTGGTAAAGAACAATTGTTTTTTTCCTTGAAGATCTGATGCTGTCATGGCTACAATTGTAACCTCATATATGAACTTTTCTGATGAAAAAGCAGTCTATGTATATATTTTTTAACATGTGGTCATTCTGATGCGGCTAGTTAGCTCTATTCTCTCTAAATTAAGTTGGTTCTATTGAGTTGACGTTACTAATTTTCTTCTGAATCTTCTAAAGCACTATTAACAAACTTTTCTGTTATAGGTACATGTCCCCTCCTTCAATCTGAGTGCTGCCCCTCCTCCAATTGTTCAGTTCGACCTCACCACAATCCTGTGAGTTATTTGTCATCTACTGGCAGCGCATTTCTTAGCAAACACATGGTGACCAACCCTCTCAGGTTCTTTTGTTCTGGTACCAAAATAGATGGGATGTCTGATTCTGCGTGGGGCTACTGAATTCACCTGTCCAGAACTTTTGCCTGAGATGGAACATGGCCTCGTTTGCTCCAATATTGTGTGGAGGAATAAGTTAATGTGGCCATGTTTCTCCTGTTAATTTGGGAATAAGTCCTTTGGTTGATATTAACTGCAAAGACAACATGACAACCCACAGAATAAAGCTTGTAGAATCAACTAACAAAGTTTGTCTGCCATCAAATATTGTTGGCTATTTTTTTTGTTCATTGGTGCAAACATACCCTAATCATTTATTTGGTCAGCATTTATTTGACTTATTACAACTTCATGCATATGAGTCATACCATGCAATGTGCACTTCAAGAGATTTGAATTACGGATATGGCAAAAGAAAGTAGTATTTGGAAGTTTAAACACCTATGATGCACTTATATTGCAATCATTACTTCCACTGAGTATAAACTTACGGTTAAACTTGGATGTCTAAGCTATTTACCTTTCCACAGTATGCATTGAAGCAGGAGAGGCAATCTGCAGGCAACCACTACATATAGTAAGGGATACAGGCAAGTTCCATCTTAATTTTTAATCCCTCTTTTGCAACTTATAAGGATCTGAAACTTTTTTGTCTTATTGGTGTCCTTTTTATACAATTAAGAATGCTGTGAATTATGACCACTCCTTTTGTGTTCCATTAGTGCAGCCTTTCTGGCACCAATCGTGCTGAAACTATTTAGCACTCTCATATCTTTAGTTTTACAGCCCATCATTCCATAAACTACATTAGTTGTCTGGTGGAAAGCTAGATTAACTGTATACAAGCATGACTGATTAGCTTTAGAGGCGCTAGTTTTGGTAAAATATTTGAGACAATCTACCATGCTTGCTTGAATGTGTTGCTTTCAACACCATTAGGAAACCATATGACTGGTTAAGTTAAAAACCTGGTCAACTCTAGGGAATAACTTGCCAACAGACAACTGATCCTGGTGAAGGATCCACGTGGCTGCCTGGGAGTCCGTTAATCTAAAAAAGAAATTCCTTTTGTTGGCTGGCTCAATGGAACATTGTCGTCCCATGATATGATGGTGATCACCATGATCAACTAATTAATGATGTGAAACCACCGAAGGAAACTATGAAGTGAATTAGAGCAATGAGCAATCTCGATGCGTAGTGTCATAGGCAGTGTCTAGATGAGAGAGCACATTAAATATTAATTTAAACCTAACCTCCCCAATACATAGTTTCTTCATGTTTTTTTTCTATAAAAATAGATATAACAAACATTTGTGTAGGGGTCACCGCATTTCTATAGGAGGCCATGACAAGAAAACTACTAGCATGTCATTGTGCAGTTTTCTTGAGTCGTCATATTTTACTCTCATTAGCTCAGGCGCCACATCAAATTTTTAGCTTATGTGGCAGCATAATTAAATCTATGGAAACTATCCTACCTAGAGCACTGGAGCACTAGGACTGCCCTTATAGATTACTCGTTTAGGATTCACCCTTCTTTTAAAAACAAATGTTAAGAGATGGCCGAATTCATTAATTAATATACAAAGTTTCAAGTTAAAGTTATATTTTTCGCTCATTACTAAGTCCGGTTAGTGCTGGAGTAGATATACTTAGTTTTGTTGTTATGTTAGTTGATTTACATTGCAGTTCGTGGAAGCTTTGTCCGTGATCGAAATTGTTGCTTCTGTACGGTAGCCGTGATCAAGAGGAATATGACATTATCTTACAGAGCATCAGTGATCTATAAATTTCCAGGACAAACTGATCTAGCACAGAATGAAGCAGCAGAGAAACCAAAAATGAGATATTTGGAGCCTCCACCCGGAGCGGACCACCAGAGAGATGGCGGAGTCGGCGAAAGATGGAGGTCGCGGTGGACATCACCACCATTAATGGGAAGGTCGATGTCTCAGGCTTGCGGTTGCAGCTGAGAAACCTCACAGAGTTTTCAGCTGTGACCACATTTGATTGATTGAAGTGCTAAGGACTAAGGTAACGTGATTTCTGCAATAACGCTTTGGAATTTTGGGTCGCTGCCGAGGTTCTTCAAACCCGAATACTCTGTTCACAGTTCTGAGATTATATTTCTTTTTCCTAGTATATATTGCGGTTGTGATATTCTTCTCTCGATGTTTGCAAAAAAAAAACAGAGAAGGAAAATAAATAACTTTCTTCTTCTGATGTTATAGCTGCACGCTATTTGTTTGAATGAAATAGCTGAGTGGACAGCTACGTGACATGGTCCGTATGTGCATAAGTTTCATAAATATTTGAAACCTCTTCCAAGGTTATATAGTCATATGGAATTCTTTTTTAATATAAAGCAACTATATTGTTGTTGGACCATTCATTGTGTTGGCGGATGGCATTGTGTTGACGGATGGCATGAGGCCCTTCGACCAAATCTGCCGAAACCCGTGGCGAAGGCTATGGAGCAAGAACGGCGTGAGGCGAAGAGTCGTACGAGTGTCTTGCCAGGCCAGAGGCGTCTCAGGCGAAGGGTGCAAGGCGAAGACTATCTGCCGAAGGAAGACGACTTCGCCATGGCAAGTTCGCCCCCGCGAGGGCCGAGGAAGCCTTTCCGGCCCAACAAGCTTAGGGGCTATAGGGCTAGCGATCGCCAGACGGCCCATCAGGGGCCCATGAGCCCCTATAACATTATGTACCCCTGTAAATGTCCCTTTCGTAAGGGTAATCATGTAAATTCCCCTGTACAACCTAAACCCTAATAGTAAAAACCTGTAATGGGGCTATTAATAGTCTCCTAGGGCCATGTAATGGGGGGAGGGGAAAAAAAGAAAGAAAACAATTCAAAATTCAATACACTTCGTTTCCTTCCAACCACTGTTGAGTAACCACGTCTTTCGACGTATGCAGTTGTCATTTCGACAACAGCTGGCGCCGACCGTGGGGACCTCCGAGCGAAACCACTGAGAGCGAATGCTACCGAAGAGGGTCGTGAAGGAGAAGGTTGCCAGGCGAAAGGAAAGCGACGCCGGACCGGACATGGCCGCCGAGGAAGGAGCAGAGCCTTCGGCGCCCGTGGCCGAAGATGGAGGAGGACAAGCGCCATCACAACCGCCTTCGGCCCCTGCAACCTTTGTGCAAGAGCCGAACGCGGCCGACGTGGCGAAGGCGGCTGCGGCGGCAAGGGCACTCCAGACCAGGGCGGAGATCCTTTCGACAGGCCAACTGGTGGTGCCCCAAGCCGCTCCATCGCAGCCGGCAGCGGCCCCAACTGCGCTCGCCGTTGTGCAGGCCCAGGTCAGCCCTGACCCCGAAACACAAGCCGAAGCCGACATGGAAGCCATGCGATAGAACATGACATGGCTCCAAGACATGCTTCGCCAAATGCAAGAACAACAACAAGCATACGAGGCGGCAAGGCGGGCCAAGGCCACGTCGGCTCCAATCCTTCAGTATTCGGCAGGTTATGTCCCACCTCAAGTCCATCCGCAAGTGACGACCCAGCCCTTTCCGCCACAAGCCACACAGGCGCCGGTGTACTTCGCCGGGCAGCAATCGGCCGCAGCAGTGCATCCGGCCCCTCAC